ACCCCCAGACTCCCCCATTCACCTCCCCCTCCCCCACTACTCCAGCCCCCCTGCTCCCCTTAGAATCTTCCCCCCCACACCACCCTCATTCCCCTCCCCTACTGCCCCATCCCCCATTCCCCTGCCTGCCTCCCTGCCCCACTCACCCTGCCTCCCCTGGGCCTGGACCCAGAGGGGCTGGTCCCACATCCACACCCCTCTTGTCACGGTCACCGTCCCATTGCAACACTCAAACCCCCCCAGGGCCTCGTCCTCTCGGCCCATCCATGATGCATCCACAGCCTCCTGTAGGGGGTGACCAGAGCAAGGTGAGAAGGGAACGGGGATTGGGTCTGGGGTTCTGAGGATGTGGGGGGTGGGACACTGGGAGAGAAAGTGGGCTCTTGTGGGTCATGGGGAGGGGCCATGGCTGAAGGGTGGGGCCTCTGGTGCAGGGGAAGGGGCCATGGCTGAAGGGTGGGGCCTGTGGTGCTTGGGGAGGGGCCATGGCTGAAGGGCGGGGCCTGTGGTGCTGAGGGAGGGGCCATGGCTGAAGGGTGGGGCCTGTGGTGCTGGGGGAGGGGCCATGTCTGAAGGGTGGTGCCTGTGGTGTGGGGGGCGGGCCTTGGCTGCACAGTGGGGCCTGTGGTGCTGGGGAAGGGGCTATGGATGGAGGGTGGGGCCTGTGGTGCACGGGGAGGGGCCATGGCTGAAGGGTGGGGCCTGTGGTGCAGGGGGAGGTGCCATGGCTGTAGGGTGGGGCCTGTGGTGCATGGGGAGGGGCCATGGCTGCAGGGTGGGGCCTGTGGTGCACGGGGCGGGGCCATGGCTGCAGGGTGGGGCCTGTGGTGCACAGGGAGGGGCCATGGCTGCGGGGTGGGGGCCTCAGTTGCTCTGCCCTGGGCCTGGTACAGCGGGAGGGCCCTGCCTGGGGAGAGGGGACCTTTGCTGTAGGGGGTGTGGCCTGTGGTGGAGCGGGAGGGGGCCCTTGCTGGGGAGGGTGGGGTTTGTGTTGCAAGGGGCAGGGCCCTGGCGGGGGTGGGCGGGGTCTCTGGTTCAGGCGATGGGGCCATAGCTGGGGCTCCCGTCCCCACTCACCGGGCTCTGGAGCCGGCGCAACAGGCAGTTCATCAGGAAGGATTTGCCCCGGCGCTGCTGCCCGATGATGGACACCAGGCAGACGGGGGCGTCCCCCACCCCACCCTGCTCCAGGCAGCGGCTCAGGGCCTCCTCGTCCAGGGTCAGGCCCCCTT